TTTCGCTCACACAAGATGCAGAGCATGGTCAAAAAATTAGAATATATCTTGAAAAATTAGTAAATGAAGCTCGGAACAATATTATAAAAAATCAACAACAATATAAAGCTCGATATGATTTAAATAGACAAGAATTATTATTAAAAATTAATGATTTAGTTTTAATCAAAACAAGAAATATTAGAAACAAATTTGATATACGATATGAAGGTCCATTTAAAATTATTAAACAATTAGGACATAAAACATTCATTGTTCAACATGTAAAAAAATTAACATTAACAAGACAAGTGACGATGGATGTCATCGTTCCATTAGTGGAACGATGGAATTTAATTTAATATCACACATCCTCAAACAAAAGGGGAAAGATGTGGTATATGATAATATAAATAGTAAAGTATATGCATCAATACGAGTCAAAAAAAAAATTATTATATGTATATTATAAAAATTATCATTTAAATTAATTCAAAATGATTGAATTCGATTCAGCAGTCCATGCCGGGGAGACAGAATTTCACCTTCTCACTGACAAGGAGGGGCTGTTAAACTCAAAAATTCATTTAAATTGACTTTATTTCATGCATATTAGTCATCGGATCAATACACTATACGCGATGACTCATCCACCAATCACAGCGCATTATAATCGAGGCACTTTTACAGTGTTGGCGCCATACTGTACAGTACGAACAATAATGCACGTGTTCCAGTTGGACGACTTTACTATTATCTGAACATTAACATGATATATACATATATTCCACATCAAAAGGAAAGAAAAAATTTTTATATATGGATAACAATAGCACCGTCTGTTATACACAAAGGAAAGGAAAATTTTATATATGGATAAAAAATCGAATATTTATATATACAAAGGAAAGAAAAATTGACCTTACAGACAATGACCTTAATGAATAAATATTTTATTACGACATTGAATTATAAATTACGCATTTTCATTTTAGTTATACATCATTTGATCTATTCAATACACAAAGTAAACATACATTTATTTCAGTGATTTATTATGTCTGCCTTAACAAGAAATTCATCTAATCCACCACCATACTTCTATGATTTAAATCCACAACAACAAAAGAATTGGATGAAAACTACTTGTCGAATGGAAAAAAACGAAGAACTACGGGCAGAATATCCGCCTTTTCAATCACCATCAAATTTTACA